CCCCACTTGGAAGTAAAAACATGGGGCAGCACAGGTTATTTCTTTAACTTGTATGTAGACTGATGACTTGGATTTAATCATGCTTTTTTTAAAGTATTAAACTAAAATTACGCTATAGCGCTGCTGTCACTAAGCAACATCATCGCATTATTGGACATTTTTTGTGTGTCCTTTACAGTACCTCGATTTTATTCCGTTGGTTTGGTGAAATGATTAATTACACGGTAGCATAGATAGGCTAATTTAATTCACATTGATGTGTTTAGATGCTATAGTTACTCAAATGCAGTGAAAGTGGGTTGTCATAGAGATGCTTTTTTTTTTTTTTTTAGTATTGATATTGCGATGGGCTTTCATCTCAGTCCATCTTTTCCCTCCTCTACACTCAAAGTCCTTTGTGTTTTCCAATGTCCCATTGCAAAATGAGCTTTTTGTTTGGTTGTGGCGTAAACGTCCTCCAGATGGGCTTGGTGTAATAAGCCCAGGTGTACTAGCTTACAGGCCCAACATCCCGATGACCTCTTACCTCTGATGTAGGTCAGTAAAGGTTAGCCGCCCAGCTCTCTGTTCATTGCAAACACAAGCTTCAAATCCATCCTTATCACCCCATTCAGATGGTTCAAGGTGCGGCTGCCACTTCTAAGAGTGAGTTAAAGAAAGCACCATATGTTTCAAAGACAAATTTCATATATTACAGAAATCCCCAGGCTTGTCTGTTATTGTTTTCATTCTAAACTCCAGCAGGAAAGGCAAACATGTGAGGCACAGCCAGCACTTATTTGCGTATGAACACCACCAGCTGCATTGGACCTGAAGGATTACACTGGATAACTGCATCTCTGTGGTTGTTATCCTTTCTTATCAACTCTCTCCCTCTCTGCTATCTTAGCAGGTCCAGGGTATCCTCGATTCTCAGGGAGTCTGGCCCACACGTTCCTTCCTATGAGCCACTTGGATCACCATGCCAACAGTGGAGTTCTCTATGGGCAACACCGTTTCTATGACACACAAAAAGGTGGGACGTGAGACTATTAAAATTTAATCACACGGAAATAATATGAATTCAAATGGAAGCGGTATAGTCTGGTGGTGTTGTCTGTGCAATACTGAGGGCATGCTTTTTCTTTTTTCTTTTCGTGACTAATTTGTCTTCTTTTTTCTATTTTATAGAGAACTTCTACCTTCGAGGTCTCCCATCCCAGCCACCTCTCATCTCAGCCAATCATAGTCTGCCACCAATGTCTCGGGCAGGTTCAGGACACACTCAGGGGTCCTGCAGCAGAGACAGAGATCAAGGGGTAGGCACAGGCATACATAAGGGTCTTAAAGAGGGGTCTGTGGAAAGAGGAGTGGTAAATGTCAAGGACAAGGAGAGATCCAGTGGGAAACAAGAGGCTAAGGAAAGACAGCAGCAGCAGCAACAACAACAGCAGCACCACGCTCACCAGCCACCCCAGCCAACACACCACCACCATTCTCACACTCATCAGCAGCACCCGCACTATCCTCAGCACCCGCTGCCCCTGGAGGAGGTAAACAGCCGGGCCCTGGAGAGGCATAAGGCGTCGCTCACGATGTACAGTAAAGAGCACCCTCAAAGTATGAGCAAGCCCCTCAGTGCCTGTTTGCACAATAGCAAGATGCAAAATGGAGATCCAGGAACTGGAGCAGGGGCTAAGGTGTCCATGTCCAGCTGTGGCGGTGAGGACACAGCCCTTCGGGCTATGGGTGGTGGGGTGAGCAGCCAGAACAGACATTTGGGGACTAGTGGCAGTGGCCGCTGCACCAAAGAGGGGGTAAGTGGGGAAATGAGGATCAGTGAACAACCTTCAGACTGTTTGGAAAGGGGTCAGGCACCACTTCACCACTCTCTGCCCTACTCCGTACCCCCACCCCTACATATGAGTTCTGCTACTGGAGGGGCCCATCCACATCCTCATGCTCACCCCCATACACATCCACATCCAGGGGGCTTCCACTGTCTTCAGCTCCACCCCAGCCACCCACATCATTCCCACCATACACACCACCATCCAGAGTTTTTCTGCCCACCGCCACCTGCTCCTCTAGCCAACCCTGCCTCGCACGAGAGGGGGCCAGTCAATGTGGGGCGAGAACCTAAAGTCACAGGGCCTACATTTGTGCCATCTGTGGCAGACGTAGGCGATAAATCTAATGGGCCATTCCAGCTTAATAACCCTGACTGCCAGGGTGTGGGTAGTGGAGGAGGAGGCAGCAATGCCAAGGACAAGACAATAGAAAAGAACGGTGGCGGTGGGCACCACAGTAATTGGCACAGAAAACAACAACAACAACAACAACAGCAACAGCAGCAGCAGCAGCACCCATACAGAAAGACAGAGAAGGCTCCAGACTGGATGCAATCCCACCATCAACACCTTCAGTCCTCACAGCTTCCTCCACCTCCCCAGCAACAACCACCACATTCTCAACAGCAGCATCAAGTAGTGCGATCGCGGAGTGCTGAGTGTATCAACAGTGGTGTGGAAATGGATGTGTTCAGACCCTCGCTGCCCCAGGGACCCAAGGCAGGGCACTCGGTCCCTCATTCTGTAAACACTTCTCCTTATCGAGACTGTTCCCATCCAGGACCCCCACCAAACTCTTCCCCACTTGGAAGTAAAAACATGGGGCAGCACAGTGGAACACAACACAGTGGTCCCGGAGGTAGTTGCTCTTTACAGAGAGACGGCCAAAAGGTAGCCAGGATTCGCCACCAGCAGCATGGCCGACCTGGCCCAGAGACACCCACTGAGTTGAACCAGGGGAATAGTCAGGAGCTTAAAAGAAAGATGGACATGTCTCCTTATGGTTACAGCAACAGCAGTGGGCAGCAGCACCACCACCAGCAGCCCCCAGTGCCACCCTGGAATATGAGGCCTCCTCACCACATGTCGCAACCTGAGGAGGAGCAGAGGAAGTCATATATGGAGTTGGGGAGCACTGGTGGGCAACACTCTCAGCAGCAGCAGCAGCAACAACAGCAAGGGTTGGCTCTTTGTGCTCGCCGTCCCAGCAGCAACAACAGCAGCAGCAACAACAACAGCAGCAGCAGCAGCCGGGAATAAGCCTTCCTCCTCCACAGCCCCCCACTGCACCTCCCCTCAGCCAGCAACAGCAGCAACCACAGCAGCAACCTGATCCCCAGGGTCCAACTCAGGGAGAGAGCAGTGCAATGAAAAGCTTACTAAAGTACAGCAACCAGCAACAACCACTGCTCGTCTCCCAAAAGAATCCATTTGGGGGGTTAGGAAATCTCAAATCAGGTCCATCTGGGGGGAGCTGTGCCCTGCAGGGCAACAAACAGACTCTGCCTTCCAGGAAGGGTACGGCTAATGACAGTGAGCGTCCTGATTATAACGGGCGGAGCAGGGACATGGGGGAGCCAGGTCATGGAGAAAGTGAGGTGCGGCAGCCGCCAGTAGGAATAGCGGTGGCGGTGGCCAGACAGAGGGAACCACCTTGTCGTTCAGCTGAAAATCATCCGAACAGCCGACAGGGCAGGGTCCATCCGTCTGTGAAAGGTAAGCAATCCAGGTCACTGGCTTGTGAGAAGGCCTTATATTTCTTTATCTGTAACTCGCCAACAATATTGCTGCAAACAGAGAAACAGCCATATAGAAAATAAACAAACAGGAAAAAGCACATTTTTAAGCGGATAAAAAGCCAGAAAAATATTGATTTTGTGGTGATACCCTTTGCTGAATGCAGTAAAAATCCAGAATGGTATAATTCTCACACTCATTGCCATCAGGGATACGCTCCAGTCCCCATGATCCATTACAGGATAATACAGGCATAGCTAATTCTATGAATGGAGTTTAATACTTATGGGTTTAAATTTAAATTTCCTCTGCAGCAGTCCCAAACAATGCCTTGCTGATTTTAACTTGGTTTTCTCCTATTTAACTTCCTAGTTGCCCTTAACCAAACATTAGTGAGTCAAACAGGCATCAACCATGATGTTTACAGATGTGAAGTCCATTTAGAGTTGCTAAGATAAAAAGTAATTAATATAAGATTTCTAAGCCTTGCTCTGAGAACAACAGTATATAAATGGAAATAAATAGATATACAAAAAAATACAATATTTAAAAAAAAAAAAAAACAAACTTTGGACAAAATTGACCTACATCAAGTTTCAATTTTATTTCATAAATATCTGAATGTGTTATTATATTATGAAGCAAGTTATTTTTCTTTCCAAATAAGACAGTAATATGTCAATACTGTGCAGTATATGGTTTTAGCATGAATTCTGCCAATACGAAATCATTTAATACTCAAAATGTATTCATTTGCAACTTGCGGCACGGTTCTGACAAGTGGCGAGAGACTTGGAATTTTGTTCTCACTGTGAACCACAATGGTGAAAGTTGATGTTTGCCTCACAGGGCAGCCCCGCTCCATGTATCTGTCAGATCCCACCACTGAGGAAGACAGGAAGAGGCTGAGTGAGGAACAAATAGGTCTCACTTGCTTGGACAGGGAGAGGGATGCATATATCAGGTGTGTATTTTTAAAGGTGTTGTTCAATACTTAATAAATTAAAATCTTTTCAGAAACATTCTCATTTGTATTTCTTCATCTTTATCTCATTCTGATGTCAGGGATAACAAAGAGAGGGTGGAATTTGCAAGGATCCACCCTTCCAGCAGCTGTCACGGAGACCTTGCCTCTCATCTCATGGTCCCGGGCGGGACGTCCCTCCAGTCTGGCCAGTTGGGAGATCCTGCTGCACATTCTGCTCACCATCATTGGATGCCAAGAACTGGAAGCCCATCTCTCTGGATGACGGGACATTCTTATGGTAAGACGCTTTCTGATGGCAGGATTTTATTGTTATGGTTATGTTTATGTTTATTCATGTGTTATAAAGACATATAGTCCAGCTTTTTTTTTGTTTATTGAAAAAAGGCCAAAACAAAGACGTTTAGAATTGATTTGATCAGCTGATACATATATTTAAAGTTCTTTTGTTTATATGGAATTCTGTAATTTAATTTCTTTATAAAGCAGGTATAGGTCATACAACCCTACACCAGAATCTGCCACCAGCTTTCTCTGCAGCCATGCCAGGCCCTCTGCAGCCAGTCCTGCCTCTGCCTCAAGACCCTTCTGCCCAACTGGTGGTCTTGCCCTCCGAGCCTCCCACCCATCCTGCGACCCATCACCTGGGTAAGCCATGGCATTTTATATGTTAATCTAATTGATCTGCAAAGCACAGGCAAACTCCACTGGTACAGTATCTGTATAAAAAGAGTAAAAGTAAGAAAAGCTTGTTTGTTATTATGCTTATGTTTTTGTGATTTGATGAAGGAGGACTGACAGGAAGAGAAGCTAAGGGCTAAGGCCGATGCTAATGGGAATCCAAATAAATACAACACAAGCAGCAGAAATGCACCAAATTTAGCTTATGTTCTGTGAAACTAAAACGAGTTATTTCACTGTTAATATTACTTTGGGCTAAGATAAGTTTGCAATCTTATGATAATTGCTACATGCCAACTGCTTGGCCCAGCAACAGTGGCACTCTCAGTAGTTCAGGATGCTCGTACAAAGCTATTTTGCCCCTACAATACCACAGCAGAGGAAGAGGAAGTGAATGAGGTGAAAATCACTTCACCAGAGTCATTGTAGATGCGTATTCAGTGAACAGACTGTGAAATTTAATTGGCTCGCAGTCTTTGACGATATATTTCCTTCTGCGCGCCACAGGAGTTTCAGCTGAGAAGGGAAGTGCATCCACAGAAACTTTCCCACAGGAAATATTTTCATATCCGATTTTATGTGGCAAAATTCTTAGTGTGTCTTGCAAAAGGAGCTGAAAGATCAAATTCATTTGGATAATAAAACCGCTAATGCGGAGTGTGTAGCACAGTGCTAATACAGATATTATGACGACGCTCATTATGTAGTTCTATATAGTGTGGTCTTAGTACTTTCCAAAAGGCACCTCTGTCATTGTAGATCACCCATATGGAGTTGTGCGTGTCCTTAAATCCACATAATGAGACAGGTTGTACACCCACACACATGGGAACCAGGCTTACTGCTGGGCCCTTTTGCAGAACCCCTACTGTGGTTTGGCCGGGAAGGTGGGACTTTTTGGCATAAAGGCCAAGACGAATGCTCTGACGAGAAAAACATGCATTTCCAGCACAGCATTTTGACCTCTAATCAACCTATGACCATTATATTCTGTTCACATTTCATCATTGTCATAACGTCTTTTTCCAGCATTCCAAAATTCTCAAAGCAGTTCTTAAGAGACAGCTTTCTGTTCAGAGCGGAGGAGAGTGTGGGATTGTTTCTGCCTGGGGAGATGTTGTTCTGTGAAGTCAAAAATCTTTTTTTTCCTTAAAGGATACATGTTGTTGCTATAAATGTGAATACAATGATTCTTTAAATGATCCATAATGGTTTCAGTGTTTTGAAATAGTTGTGTGGGAGGCACATAATGATAAATATGGAGAACACAACTGTTCTCTGTTTGCTAATGTATTCTAGTGAGTCGTGCCTACTGTCAATGCGTATGAGCCCAAAGAAAAGTGATGTAGAGTGTGTGTGTGTGTACGTGTATGCATGTGTTTTTGTTCTAAGGTAGCCCCCTCCATCACATTTCTCCTTCTTTTTTTTTCTCATTAGATGTGATGGAGCAGCCAGGGCTGTGGCCCCCTGTGTACGGCGCCCGGGGCCCACCCTCCCACATGCAACATCCTGCTGTGTACTCCCGATCCCAGTTTCTACGGCAACAGGAGCTGTACGCTCTCCAGCAGCATCAACAGCTTCAGCATCAGCAGCAGAGTCACCAGTCGCAGCAATCACAACTGCAGTCTCAACCTCAGCAGCAGCAGCAGCCACAGCAGCACAGAGCTGCACATGCCATGAACATGCAGCACCAACCCGCTCACAATGCACAGGTGATTGTAGAGTCAAAATACGCAAGGGAGATTAATACATGCAAAAGTGCAGGCAATACAGGGAAGCGTAAGCGAGTCATGGATCCCGTGACTTTTGAGTCTATTTTCAATTTGCATAATATTCTTTGAAGGATATACCAACTTTCCAACAGGGGAAAAAAAGTGTATTCCCGAATACAGAAAAGCAAGTAGCATTGGCTGTCAACCAGATTGCAATAAATGTACTATTTGGTTAATGCATAAAATCACTTGTTCACTAAATTTAGATATGCAACAATTTTGTATTAATGCCACAGATACAGAAGAGAGCAGACGAGCCCTCAGTTGAACTGGAAGAACTCATTTCAGAGCCAAGAACATCTAAACCTGCCAAAGCTTACTCTTACAACCCACCGCAGAGGAACACCTCACCCCCTGGGACCTGCACCACTCACCTGTCCCCTTGTTGTCAGTCCCCTTCGCTGCGACAACATCCCAAAAGCACTCCTTCAACACCCTGCCCCGCTCCTAGCCCTGTTGCAGCAGTACCTCATTCACCTGCCATTAGCCCCGCTCCACCTCAAATGCTAAAGGCTCCTGAATCCGAAGACAAGACGGGAGAGGGACAGCCACCACAGGAATACCCAGGGTCTCTGGAGCCTGGTAAGTGCAAAGAAGTGTCTAGAAGAAAAATGCAAAAACTGTGCGTAAAAGTTTTCAAACTGTCTTTGAAGCAGTGTGCACAGTGTTTTTTGTACGAGCAATACTCATCAAATTAGCGCTTTTGAGATAACATACTCACACTAATCAGGTAATAACAGAGTCATGTAGAAAACCAGAAAGAGAACAGAAAACAGTTCTAACATATAGTCAAATCTTGTGCATCATACTGATTTATAACTGGAGTTGTCACTGTTCAGTGACCCCATTCCTTTCTGCTGGTGTTGTGGTAATATGTGTGGGTAGCTCTTTTGGCAAAGCCTCTGATTGAATAAACGGTGAAGAAAATGGCTGCCGGCTGTGCTGGGACTTTCCAGAACTGTTACCTTGGTAATGATTGAGAAATACCTTAGTAGCGGCCTTTACATCTCCTCCACCCCCACACGCCTGACACTATCTTCATCATTATTAATGTCTGGCTAACGGCTCCCGCAAGCCAGAGGAATTGTGTCAGTTTCTCTGATAAACTAAAGGTCTTGCCCACTTTAAATAACACGTACACACACAGTTACTTGTGGTAACTTCCTAAGGTTGGGGGATCAAGGGAAAGTGCTATTTCATTTCCTTGCCCTGCTTTTTCACTCCATAGAACCTAGTTAGCAAGAGAGTTTCGTTTATCATGGGTATGATTGGTAATCTGTAACACATCCCCATCACAAAAACAGTGCTTTCTATTAAGGATTCATAATATGTGGGTTTTTTGGGAGGATGGTTTATCAGAATTTTTGGAATAAACAGACAATTGTTAAATATTAAATTAATAAATATTCTTTTCATCTATAGACTTGCCTCCTGGATACACATACCCTGCTATTGCGATGGACTACAGGAGCGGACCGTCACCTCAGGGTGTTCAGCTGGCTGAGCCAGCTGACCTGGACGCAGTCCAAGTGGAGCCTGCTGAGCATGCTCCCCAGTCTCTGGCCAACCTAGGGGAGGAGTTAGACTGTCAAGTGGTAGTCAGACCCCTTCCAGAGCCACTCCCACTCAAGGAAGTGGCGCATGAAGAGGAGAACAGAGTGGTTGACGGAGTTCTGGAGCAGAGGGATGAGGTGGAAATAACAGCCGTGGCAGAAGCTAGCTATGTCCACAGAGAGGAGGAGCAACCAGAGGAGCAGGGACAAACTGCAGGAGAGGTGCTGGTTTGTCCACCTGTTGAGAGTACTGTGTGTGAGGCTCCTTCATGCCCAGTCTCCATTTCAACAGAAGAACCTGACAGGCAAGACGCTGTCATTACCTTAGAAGAAGAGGAGGATGATGAGGTGACGGGTGGGGAGATTCAGGTGGAGTATGCTCAAAAGGTCAGCATGCCTGGAGAGCAAGAGCCAGAGCTCCCCACCATCATCGAGCTTGATCCTGCTTCTCCTGAGTCACAATCCCCGCCTAATGAGAGCACAGAGGACAGTGAGCAGCAGCACGACAACAAGATGACCTCTAATGATGCCTCAGTGGATTCTGTGTGTCTTTCCCCGGCCTCAGCCTCTGCCCCTAGCCCAAGCGAGGAATCTTTTGCTGTGGCCCCAAAACCTGTTGTGCCCTGCTACTGGAGTCTGGAGCTGCTGATTGCTGCTGCGTTCTGCACAGATGTGCCTCCATTTCCCTTGTTCTCATATAGTACACCATCGGTTGTCCCATCGCAATGCAACCCACACCAGGGTATCGAGCTTCTAAGTGAACTAGCGGATCTGGAGCTGCAGCAGCAAAAGCGCACTTGTGGAAAAAGCCAGGGTGAGAAACAGTGGCTCCTCCATGACTCTAACACGTTCACATTCACACAGCAATACTCACATCAACAGAATGCACTTCTCTCATAGTTTACTCTCCTTTTCCTCTGTGTCCATTGAGACAAACTCCCACTCCCCCCTCAGGCCTAGCCTCATCGCTCTGTGCTCCCTCCCAGATAGTCCTCTCTTCCTGCCGGTCTCATGAGCCTCTTGTGAATTCTAACACATCCCCAGAGAGGCTGTCTACATGCTTGCTTGCCGTTGCTCTTCTTTGGCATGTTAAAGCCACTTTTATTTCCTAAAAGGCTGTTCTAATGATGCAGGGCCTCAGGAGAGGGAGAAAAAGCAGGAGGACAAGGCTGAACTACTAGTGAAGGGTGTACACCTTCCTCTCTCACTCACGCTCCCTTCGAGCTCTCCTCAGGGAACCGTCTGTGTCTCTCCATCCTGCAGCTGTTTGATACGCTCATGCGCGCGCACCCAAACACGCACAACTGCAAATACACAGAGTTAAACTTAAAGGAGAGACACCAGTTTGTTTCATTCTCTCACTAACATAACACTTCATACTGAAAGTTGGTGTGTAATCACAAAAGCAGTCATTGTTTTCAGCACCCTGGAGCATTGCCTGGCTAATTAGACCCCATTGTTTTAAAGTGGCTTTAAAAGCTTCCTTGTTTTTCAAAGTACCATGCGGTTGTTTTTTTTTATTCATGCAAAAGGATGTTTTGTGTTTACCACAGCATCCTAATGCATTTAACTGCTCCCAAAAGATGGTTCTTTAAAAAGGGTATCATCTGATTCCAGAGTCAGCGATGTCTTCGATATGCGATATTGTTGACAGCTCAGGCAAGTAGCAAATGTCGATTTAGAGTCACAACTATGGTTAGTAAGACGATTCAGTATATTTTTATTTATTCATGTTAAGATGTGAGACTGTGTTACTCTTATAAACAAAATGTCATTTTCCTTGTGACTAGGCTACAATCTGTTATTCAGCTTGTGGCTCAGACCATTAATGGCAGATAGACTACTCAGTGTCATAAGCAGATAGGCTACATAGGAAAAGCTCAGTCCAGATGGTCTGTGAGATATCAGCATATGGTGAGTCCAAAATAATGTGACCTCTGAAAAGATATGCTGCTGATTTCTCATACTGTCCTAATCTGCTCAAATTTCTGCAGAAAACAAAACAAAAACAAAAAGACCCATGTTTCTCTCTCACTTTGACATGAGTTTCCTTTCACAAATGTTAAGTAAACAAGCTCCGTCCACTGTGGCATCTGAATCGAAAATGTATAGATGCAATATGAACCCTTTTTCCCCCCCCCTTCTGTACACAGAGGAGGAACTGCTCATGTTTGACCTCCAAAGCCTTGCTACCCTGGCCACGGCCCGTGCGCTGGAGCTGGGCTCCGAGGAAAGCAGCAGCGCGAGTTCTGAGCGGCAATTTCCAGCCCGCAGGATCCTCAATTTACGAAGGAAATGCACCTGGACACCTCGCAATGAACCAGTAAGGCTATAAAAGTGTGCCCTTCTTGACGCTTCGAAATGTTCCCAGAATTCTAACGATGTTTCAAACAAATAGTAACTAATGAAGTTGTACTTAAAATGTTCATAACCACTAATTATGCGTGTTGTTCAGGTGTGCCCAGCCAAAGTTAGCATGGAAACAATGGATGGTCCTGAGCTTGCGATGCGTGTGAAATTGGCTGAGTTACAACGTCGCTATAAAGAGAAGCAGAAGGAGCTTGCCAAACTTCAGAGGAAGCATGATCATCAGTGAGTATGGCGCGGTCCTCCTTTACCTGTGCCGATTCCCAATCGGTCCGTTCCAAAGTAGTAAAAACATAAACGTATTTCATTCACTTATAGTTTCAAAATGGATTTCTTTTAGTGCTTTAGAACCTTCAGAGTTTAGATATGCGTGGCGTCTTAAAGCTGGGCCGGCTGCATGTGTGTTTACATCTGCATGTGCCAGCAGGAAGGAAGAAACACCTCGCAGCCCAGCACGGCGAGGACCGGGGCGGCCAAGGAAGCGGAAACCCACCCTCACCACAGGTCCAGTGTCCTCATCCGAGGGCCAAAGAAAAGTCAAGTGAGTATCAGTCAGCCCATCTCCGCTAGCTGGCTGTAGTCCAGTCATGCATGATAAGCCCCTCTGTATCACTGCCATACAGGCGCTGCCTCTCATTGGCATAAGCAGGAAACGGGAGAACCGCTGAACTATTCTAGGAAGTCGACTCGAACCTCTTCTACTCTAATCAACATTGGTGTTAATTGCGTAACGGGGTAGTCTGTGTCAGCTGTGTCCTACAGAATACTCATTCAGGGTTAATATATATATATAAATAAAAACATTCAACTTTACCGGGCTGAATTGTGCACGTCTGATTCTCTAGGCAATAAGAGTTAAGCTGACATTTTGAGTCCATGTATGTGTTTGAGGAATATGACAAAAGAGGAAAAGTTAGCAGAAACGAGCAGGAGAATGAAAATAAAGAAGGTGTAGAGAGTGCAGAAACAAGGATCCTGACTTTTTCCTTATATGAATTGATGGCATGTTTTTTTTTAAATCAACATTATAAAAATAGGGATGCCTTTCCTGTTTGGAAGTTGTGTTGGAGGGGTTGGTAAAAGGTTTACTCTCAGGCTTCAGTTATTCCCGGCATCTAGGCTCAGAATGCCTTTGGGCACTAAATATTACCTCGCAGCATTCCCTCTCTGTCCATCTTAATCCTTCTTTTCTCACTTCAGTTTCTGGACAACTGTCCACAGCTGCCCCTTTGCAATGTCACTTGCCACTCTTCTTCCACCCGTGTCCTCTTGCGCCCCCCTCACTAGGGCCCATGCTGATCAGATGCTAATGCTGAGTGACAATGACACCCAAATATAAGGCCTGGGCCCTCAAGTGAAGTGCAGTGGAGGGAAAGTGGGAGCAGATATGGGGTTACAGTCTCACAGAAGAGTAAACTGAAGTCTGTCTTTTTGTTGTACTTTAAATTGAATCACAGCCGAGACACTTTATTTTTCTTAAAAGCTCCCAGGGTGTACACCCTTTTGTTTGTGATGTGTGCACAACCCAAAAGAGAATGACGTGATACTTGTGAATGAGAAACAAGCAAGCAGACTGAGGACTGTTTAGCCCCATGTTGCGTTATGTGGCAGGGTTCTATAAAAGCCCTGTCCTGCACCTGCCAGTCATGCCGCTACAAAACGCTGATGCTTTTGTGCTGATGGGGGTTAGTGGGTCAGTGGGTCAGTGGATAGCCCACCCAGCCTTTCAGTATCTTTTTCCCTACTTTGCTTTAACCACCGGGGGTGCGTGTGTGTGGTAGTGTTTGAGTGGGAGATACATTCAGGCCTCATGATCAAGCCTTCCAACTTGCAAATTTTATGCATCTGTTTAGTTAGAGATGGATGCAGCAGTGTGCTTATGAGCATTGAAGCAGGCATTGTTTGTTTCTGTGCACGCTTATGTTATTCCTGTGGGTAGAGCATTGGGGTCCTTTGTGGTGTTGCTTTGATTTGGGGTTGGACGGGGTTGTATGCTAGAGACAACTCCTGCTTGCCAGCAAACCCTGATAATCAATTCTGTTTAATTAGTCACTGTACACTCAGCTCCACCAGCCCCCTCCACCATAAATGGGAGGGACTCTGTCACATTGTGTTTGTCAGCAGCGGAAAGCAAGCCGTGGTGGGATCTGCCTCACGGGGACAACTCACACTCCACTGGCACCTCTGTCACTCTCCTGTCAGTCAGTGGGCAGAGAGTCCCACTGCCTGACAATTGCGTTCATTCTTCTTGAGTCTTGCAGGTGCATGCTGGAAGATCCTGATTATGAGATTTACACACAATCAGCACCTACATGGGCACTGTGAATTCGCATGCTGCTGATAAATGACATCAAAACAAACATGCAAAAAAAACAGCACATGGTTCTTTACTTTAAAAACAGTTTCTGCACCAATATGGAAGCAGAACAAATGCGCAGTATTTTACTTATCTACGTCAGATTTAGTCATTGCTTACTTTCTAAATGGAATGGTTTCAGAGGTTGTATGCATGCTAGGAGAGAGGAAGTTAATCTTTTGTTTGAGCATGGTCTGGCTCATTTCGGTGTGGTCTACGGGCAGTCTTCCAGAGGGAAATTCAAGGGCATTTGGAGTGGTTGGCCTGTGATGCTGCTCAGCATAGGGGAAAGTGTGTGCCACAGTGATATGAAAAAGCAACCAGAGAGCCATGATACTCACGGAATACAATATGACCACATTCAAATTCCAGTGCCTTCTAACCATTCACGGTATCCTTCAAAGCTGTGCAGTAGTGCTTTACAGGGGACAAACATTCTCCCTAGAAGAAGCATTAACGCTTATGACACCAAATTGCCCTCAAACAATCCCAGTTTTCTTGTTAAGAGATTAATTTTCAAGTGGGTGTCTCAGACACTGGACTCTTCTTGTCCTTTTTGTCATTCGGCTCACCAGACAGAAAAGGGAAAGTTACCAGATCCCAGAGAGAGGTGACTCAACTCCCTTGTTTTTTTTCCCTTGCAGATCGATGGGGGCAGGGCTTGGTTTGCCTGACGACCTGGGAGGGGGCGGAGAAAGCCAGCGAAGGAAGAAGAGGCTGTCCAGTCGAGGCTTTGAGCGACTCAGCAGCACACAGGTCAGGGTCCCCTTGTCCTACTCCCTTCTGTCCCACACATAAAATCCCACAAATAAAAGAAGCCACTCTTTGTTTCTTTGCATTTGATATATCCCTTTGTTGCATCCCATTTCTAATTAGGCACTACCCTCAGGAGTTCATCCTGATCCACTGCTCTCCATATAAATGTCTGTCTTGTTAGAGCTTCTCCAATTGCTTTTTTTAATTCTCTATTCTTGAGAAAACAAGGGCTCTCTTCACAATGTCAGAGGAGATGATGATGTCATGATGATGTCATTGTGATGCTTTTGTGGCTTCTGTAAGCAGGAGTGTGGTTTTCACCAGTCTCATCTGTCTTTCTGTTGCAGCAGGTAAAAGCACAGAGCTGCAGAAAAAGCAGTCTTCACAGCATGCTCAACTCCAAGCTGGCTGGAGATGTGGTTCAGCTCAAGCAAAAGGCCCAGGTTAAAAAGAATCTCTCAGGGACAGGCTCGAGGGACAAGGAAATTTCACTCTGCAGCTCCAACCTTAAGCATGGACACAGAAGCCAGGGCACAAGCAAAGCAGACTCCAGGCGAGAGTCTGGGGGACAAAGCGATACAGGTAGATAGTGGCAATCATTGCACTGATTGTGCTTGTTCCTCCTGTTTTTAGTTTTACTGTGCAGAGTGTTGTTGTTTTTTCCCCCCATCAGCAGTTACCCTTAGAGTTAAGCAGTGATTTATTTCTTAAACTTTTTCAGCAGCCAGTGGGGACAGTGTCCACCAAGAGAGCTGGACCGGACTGGTGCGTTGTGGACGTAAAAAGGGATCGACCACCCTGAGCCAGCACAGAACAAAGGTTCACCGTGGCCAAAGGCACGAAGCAATGGAGGAGGAAGAAAGCTCGCCTGCAGAGAGCGACTCCTCTGATCAAGGTGGGACAGTAAATACTGAGCTTGGAGACGTAGTTAAGTCAAGTTAATGATTAAGGAGACAAACACTCTACTTTTAAGATTAGGATTAAAACTTTCTGTTTTGATGAAGCTGATAGTAAGGGCTGAATCGGGTGACCCTGAAACATCCCTAAAACATAGGCTGCAGTAGACCCAGGTTGCTGGGCGCACTGAGCATTTCTTCTTCACTCATCTCTTTTTGCTGTCTCTGTGTTTATACACCACTGCTGCATTTAATCATTCATAATTATTCAACTCTGGCTCTTTCTCCCATAGTGTGTCTTTTGTCCTGTCTTTCTCTCACTGCTCTCTTCTCTTTGCCCTCACCCCCCAACCGGTTGCGGTGGATGACTTCCCCTCCCTGAGGGTGGTTCTGCTGGAGAGTTCTTCCTGTTAAAAGGGAGCTTTTCCTTCCTACTGTCACCAAGTGCTTGCTCATGATTGTTGGGGTTTCTGTCTAATATCACAGGGTCTTTATCTACAATATAAAATGCCTTGAGGCACCGCCAATTGTGAATTTTTGCTATATAAATAAAATTGAATACCAAAATTGAAAGTTACCTTTAGATATCTAAATAGCTAGCTATGAAAATATGACAGGGATTTTTTGAAACATTTCTACAAATTTCTACAAATAAAATAAAAATGCATATCTGACAAGTACAGCTAACGTACTGAGTCTATGATCCAAAAGCTCCTTTAAATCTATATTGCCTTTTGCTAATTTCTAAAAAAATATTGAAAACCAATCCATTTTGATGGGCGAGTGAAGAAAGATTGGGACGTATGTCTTGGCAGAGACGTGCATTTACATTCAACAGCTCAGTGGTCAGCTCTGTTGGCTGGTCTGGGCTGGACACAGACACACAACTATAGACACCTGGCTGTGAGAGTTTTGCACACCCCTGGAGACCAGCATACCAGGTCAAAGAGCCGCTGCAAAGAAAAAAAACTGCAGTGACAAACATAAAAACTCCCTCACACTCTCCCTAACACACACATTCGCAGTAGCATGTGGGTTCACACCAGGAAATACCACTGAAGCAAAGCAGTTCATATATCTTTCCTATGAACCGTTAAACTATTTACTTTAATGCTAATGAAGTGCCTGTGGATTGATTGGGAGGGAGTTAAAGAACTTTACTGGTTGGTAATGACGTGGGGAGATGGATTGGATAAGCTAAGTTTTTTTTTTCATGCCTTTACTGAATATATGTTGTATTGTTTCCTAAATCTGCTAGAAGATGAAGAAGAGGAAGGCAGTTGTGATACTGATGAAGTTCAAGATTACAAAGTCCAACCCTCTAGAGATGTCACTTTAAGCTCCTCCATGATTGGTCCTAGTCCATCGTCTGTTGTAAAACTGGAGGCCAACCAGAAAGCCTGGAACAAAAAACAAAGGCAGGAGCTTTATGGTAAGACTGCCCTTTGAAAATAATTGATAATTCAAGAAGCATCTGTTTTTTACATTTGTCCTCTTTTGTATTGTTATCTCAGTCTAAATGTCCTTCTGTAATCAAACCATACAGGATCCCAGAGTCTGTCTGGTGCAGAGGGGGAAGTCAAAATCAGGAAGAAGTCCAACTCTAGGATGGGCATGACCACAGCAGTTAAAAATCACCAAGACCACCAAGATCGGCAGCCTGAAGTAGCAAGAAAAACATGTGGGCCCAGGTCTAAGGAACCTCGGTGGGGCAGTCTTGGGACCAGAGGCAACCGCTACAGGAGGAGCATGGGACTAGCTACCTTCCCCACCACAAGTGAGAGGCTGAAGCGGGCAACCCGCAAGAGCACCATGTTGAGAGGAGCAATTAACAAGGTAAAAAAAAAAAATTACAATAGAAATTTTGATCAACCAATTTTATTGAACCACGTATACTGAAGATATGACACAACAAAACTGAAGTACAAACTTTGCATTTGCTATATCTTCATGTGCCCTTGCTGTGGCAATAAGCTGCGATTCCTCTTCTCTCACTTTACCAGAGGAGAAGTTGCTGGCCAATTGGGGGCTCATCTTTGCAGGGCGAAGATGGAAGCAGGGGACAAAGGAGCAAAGACCAACAGGTACCAGCAGGC